CATCTGTGTGTGTGTGTGTGTGTGTGTGTGTGTGTGTGTGTGTGTGTGTGTGTAAGGGGTGGGAGCCTGTGGGTTGGCCCAGTTGATACCATATGCTCCCTCTGAAGATCAGAGGGATCTACCCCAGCTCCTATAGTAGCAGCTCGAGTCTCAGTCATGTGTATGTTCTTTAGGGCAGAGTCTTTGGCATTTATTTAATGCTGGGACCACAATTGAAATTTTAGCTACCGTAAGAGCTTAGTGCTAACAAAGATCAGCCACACCTTCATGAAATACCAACTGAGTGTATTAAACCTTGGTAAAACCACATTAATTTAGACAGGGAGGAAGCCAGTAATAAAATTGAAGGTATACTACAAGGTATTTTAAAATACATTAGGTTTCAAGTTTAAGAGTAATTGGGACAAAATGGAGTTTTTGCGGATATTTTGTGGCAGAGGCCCTTCAAAGAAGCCTGACTTGCAGACTTATTTGTAGCCAGCACGCCCAGATTTCTTGATCATAGTGTAACCCTTTGGATATCTCCCTGAATGCATATGGCTTAGAGAAGTGTCATTGGCCCTCGGTAATTTCACTGTCAGGATCTATATACTATTTGTCCTTTCCTTAGAGGACAAGGACTTCATCTTAGCAACATTTTTACCCTCAAAGCACATAATAGTTATCTCAGACATATTAATGGAAAGATTGCCTTCCTTATAGACTGTGCCTGAGAGGACTCATCCCTGATCAAACATAAACTTTCTTGAAAGATCTATGAATGTATAATCCTAATGTGTGAGACTTACTTTCTGGTAATTCCTCAAAACGACAAAACATTCTCACCAGGAATTTTAACTGCTGGTAGAGCCTGTGGGGCTGTCACAGCCCTTGGCAGCCAGGCAGTGAGTGGGTCGTGACTCACAGACAAGGCTAAGAGGAATGATGTTAGCCCCTTCCTCCCCAGCAGGAGTCAGCAAGACACCCATTCTTGTTCTGGGCCTCCACTACCTGCAGATCTGATGCTGTGGCATTTAACCTTCTCTTTCCTGAATAGTCAGGCTGAATTCCCACCTGTTTACTGAGGCAGCAGAGAATGTCATCACTGACTCAGGGCTTCTCCCCTGACCCCTTTTGCTCCCTGGCCTCTTTCTTAATCCTTAAGGGGTGGCTGAAGTCAAGTCTACAGATTATCATCATCATGTTTCTTGGCTCAAAGGCAGAATAAATGGGAAACCCCTTTTATTTGCTTGCCCCACCCTTAGCACAGTGCCCCAGGAACCAGACTCAGGTGTGTGGCTATTGATTAAGATGAGATCCACCTTAACCTGGGCAGAGCAATCAAGCCTGGAGGCTGAGCTAGCATTAACCTGCTTCACTGCCGGTTCCTGTCTGTGGGAACGAAGACTCAAAGATTGGATGTGGAGCAGGGCAGAATGGAGGCAATGAGAGGGCAGCAGCCCCCTGCTCAAGCTTCTCACCTTATGTGAGTTAGGAGCCTGCCAGAGGAGGAGTGAGGACGCTGGGTAAATCCCACCTACTTCCCCAGTCTGTTCGGGAAGGACCCTGATGCTTCGTTGAGGAATTTATGATTTATTTCTCATGGCAACCAGGCAGCGGGGATAATTTAGGATGTGAATAATAACTGAAAAACATTCAAGAAATTTTAGGTGGTTATAACTTTCTCCCTAATTGGATTGCCCCTACCCCCAAACTAGAGCTGTTTATATAGAACACATTTGTTCCACCTTTTGCTCTCATGCTGTGAAGTGCTGGTCTAGATCAGCGGCTGGAGGGAGGCCATCTGAGGATAACGCAAAGCCTAGAGCAGCGTTTCTCAACCTTGGTGCTATCGACATTCTCGGTTGTAGGGGGCTGTCCTGTGCATTGTAGATGTTTAGGAACATCCCTGGATTCTACCCCTTGGATGCTAGTAGCACTCCGTCTCCGGGGGTGATATGATAATGGGCGGCTGGGTTGCCCCTGGATGAGAAACACCGGCCAAGAGAATCCACCAAGTGATTGATGAGTCCCCTGATCAATCACCCTTTTCCTTTCCTTGTTCTCTTCCAAATTACGTGGAGTCATTTTTACATACTATGGTTGAGTCAAGGGAACGGCCTGGCATATCTGAGAAAATTTATGGAGGCAGAGTCTAACTGCAGTTCATGGGAAGAGAGTGGGATTTAAAGTCAGAAAACCCAAAGTCAAGTCCCTATTGGTGTGACAGAAAAACTTGGGAGCACATCTCCCCTACTCCCAACTTCCCTTCCCCAGGCATTTCTTAGCATGGGAGAAATCTAGGAGTCTGAGAACATCTGTTGGGGAACTGAACTTTTCATCCCCAAATGGCTCCAGGAGACAGGATCAGCCCAAGTGGTTGTCCTTCACATGTCCAAGGCAGCCCAGAATGGAGTCAAGTTCACTGTGTGATCATGTTATCATTTCTTAAGGGCGTGGTCAAAGCCATGTGAATAGGAGGAACATGCTTTCCTCATGAGAGGCTGGACAGTGTTTCCTTGGAATAATAACATTTGTGACACATTTCATAATTGAAGGGGAAAATGACTTCAGTCGCATCAGTGGGGAGCCTGGAATGTGGACATGTTCCATTGTTCCCCAGTGAAGGGACCCCAGTGAAGGGGTCAGACGCCTTTGAGAGCTGGTTAAAGGGTCCCTGCTCTTATGTGGGGCGGTGTGGGACTTCCTGCGGGAGCTGGTAGGGAGGTTGGCTTAAACAGGAACTACAGGAGGAGGACAAGAGGGGATTGAAAAGACACAAGGATGTTATGTATGCAAGGGAAAGCTCTCCACCTCTACCCACTAAGGAGGGTGCAAAGGAAGGAGTTTCAGGTCTTCCCCCTCTGAACTGCTCACCTGACTCATAAGGAACTGCTTGGACCTCCAGGACACTGTAGCACCTGGGCACTGTCGCTTGGGTTGGTCTAAGGAGGTGGCTATGGCAATACCAGGGAAAGGGCAGCCCCTTTCCATGAGAGACTGGCACAGGTGCTGTCGATATGGGGCTGAGGGGATGGTCCCCAGGCCCCTCCTTGTAGATGCCTGTCAGAGAGGCCTGAGGCCAGGACTGCCCATCCTCCCTCCCTGCTTAATTTTCTGCAGTAACACTTATCATCCTCTGACTTTTGGAGTCTTTCTCCCACTGTAACATAAGCCTATGTTGGCAGAGATTTTTAACTATTATGTTCACTGATGGTTACACAGTGCCTAGAACAGCACCTGGCATATAATAAGTATTTTTGGAAGGACATTCTTCCCTGAAACACAGAAAGAGAGCCCTGCTACACCCGGCTTGCATATACAATAAGCTGTGCAACATTTTGCAAGCTACACAACTTCTCTGAGCCTTAGTTTTTCCATCTATCAAATGGAATTATTAGAAACATTTATCTCACAGAATTGTTTTAAGGATCAGCATGGCAGCCCTTCCCAAGGTGAATTACTACTACTTTCACAATGTCTGTGAAGCATCTGGCATGCTAGAGATTCTATTAGAAATTTCTTGGAACTTTAAAGCATTTCAGAGCCAAGGACTCCAAGAGGGTGTAGAAGCAGGGAGCAAGCCCTCTGGAGGACCCTGTTCCACAGAACTCTAACTGGCCACCAGGGTGCACAGACGTCATTAGAATCATGGCCACTAGGGGGCACTCACCACTGAGGTTTGGAGAAATCCTTCCCTTTGTCTCCTTCCTATCTCTTGTTTGGGCTTCATTGGCTCCTTCTAGATTTCACCTTCAGTGAAGGAGTTTTAAACTCTTACCTTTCAGTTTGTCCTAATTCTTTGCCAAATACATCTGCGCTTTCTGACTTTGGATCTGGTTCTGGCCACCTTTGGATACTGACCTTTTAGATCCTGTACCTGGGTGCTCTTCCCTTCATCGTTCTGGTGGCATTTTAGGTGTATTCCTATATGGTTTGAACTACATATATTTGAACTACGAATACATCAACATTGTTAAAGAGTAAAAACATCTTCAGACTGATACCGAGAGGATGATATCTGCTGTGCAAATTATCCCAGAGAAAGGTTCCATCTGGTAAGCCGTATAAAATAACATGGCTGCCATTTGGCAGGTGAGAATCTAGATACTGCAGAGTCTGCATGACCTTTGAGTACAATTTTTCAGGAGTGGTCATTTCTGGGACGGGATCAATCCTCCTGTTCACAAAAGAAACAAAATATCTTAGTATATTATAGGATAAATGCATGCAAATATAAGACCCACCCCCAAAACACACACACACACACACACACACACACACACACACAGTAGTTATTGGTGTTATTTGCAAAATATTTCTGGTTTCTGGACTCCCTTGTGGTTGGGTGGGCCAGGTCTGGCCTATGAGCTGTGAGCAGAAGTGACATGTGTCATGTTTGGTTGTATGAGAGCCTCCAGGATGCCCTTACTCTCTGCCATGAGTCTGGGCAATGTTCTAGAAAGCAGCTGCTTCACCAATCTGAGTCCTGGAACAGAGCTCCATGGCGATCCCTGATGGACAATGTAGTGCGAGTGAATAAATATTTATTGCTTTATGCTACTAAGATTTTAGGGGCTGTTTGTTCCTGCAGCATAATTTCACCTATCCTGACTGTTACACACAGTTAATAGAATCAAAGGGGTCTGGTATTGCTTATTATTTGTTTGACACTTTGAGCTCTGCAACTTGGTCTTTAAAACTTTGCGCATATATAACAGTCAGGGAGATGAAATTTCACTGAGAAATGAAGTGGCATTATGTGTCCGCATGACAACTTTCCGTTCTACAATGAATTTGAACTTTCATGAATTTCCTGATAGACTGCTATTCCAGGCTATACCCCTGCAACAATATCTGTCAACAGATAATTCCAGTTTGCATCACTGCCTTTCTCTATATAGAAGTGCGTGTGCTCTATAGAGGATATATGAAATTTTAAATTATATTTTTATCTTCTTGTTCCACAAAATTAGTGAAAAAGGAAGTGTTGAAAGTAGTTATAAAAGCACAGTCCTAAAATCAAAGGATTTAAGACAAAGATGTAAATCATAAGTGAAAGTAGCAAATCTTTAGCTTCAATTAGACATTTACTGAATTTAAGCTGCTGGTCTTATTTTCATTTGGTTTGGAAAAGAACAAAAGTGAGGCTTGTACAAAATACTAGAAATACATCATTGAAAGTTCCATTTAAATCTCCCTTCCTTCCTTCCTTCTTTCCTTTCCCCTTCCTTCCTTCCTTCCCTCTTCCTTCCTTCCTTCCTCCTTTCTTTCTTGTTATCTTTAAAAGGCAAGGTATACACCTGGAGACTGTCATACAGAGTGAAGTAAGCCAGAAAGAGAAAAACAAATATCGTATATTAACACATATATGTGGAATCTAGAAAAATGGGATAGATGAACCAGTTTGCAAGGCAGAAATAGAGACACAGATGTAGAGAACAAACGTATGGACACCAAGGGGGGAAAGCGGGGGTGGTGATGGTAGTGGTGGGATGAATTGGGAGATTGGGGTTGACATATATACACTAATATGTATAAAATAGATAACTAATAATAACCTGCTGTATAAAAAATAAATAAAATAAAATTCAAAAAACAAAAAAACATGGCTTCCCTGGTGGCGCAGTGGTTGAGAGTCTGCCTGCCGATGCAGGGGACACAGGTTCGTGCCCTGGTCCGGGAAGATCCCACATGCCGCAGAGCGGCTGGGCCCATGAGCCATGGCCGCTGAGCCTGCGACCGGAGCCTGTGCTCCGCAACAGTGAGAGGCCTGCATACCGCAAAAAAAAAAAAAACCCAAAACAAAACAAACAAACGAAAAAAGATTTAAGGGAATAAAGAAAACTAAGGAGTGGCTAATTAATTTACATAATAGCATTTCAGAGGGCAATGATAAAGACTGAAGCCCAGAACCTAAGTGACTGGCAAGTTTAACATAATAATAACATACTTTCTATTGAACTGTTTAATACAACCTTTCCTCCTTCCCTGCTATTAAAAAAACACTTTGATGACTCTTATCTACTACAGAATGAAATTCAAACTCTGTGGCTTAGCACTGAGACCCTCTACTGTCTGCTCTTCCCTATGTCTCATTTCTTTTGCTTCTCAGGACAGGATGAACTGTTAATGCCAGTGTTTGTAGATGACCACACCTCATGTTACCCATTTTCTTTATTTTTGAAACTGCTACCTGGCCAAATGCTCAGTACTGTGAACTATACTAGTAGTTGTAGTGGGTAAACTACACTCCATGTAGGCAGGGATTTTGTTTTGCTCATTGCTGTATTTCTAGTGCTTGGAGCAGAACATTGCATGTAGTAACTATGTGTTGAATAAATGATTAAAGGATTGAATCAATAAATGTAAATACAGGGGAAAAAAGGCAAGGTATAAATAGGGATTCTAGAATATTTTTTGGCTTTAATATGTAAGTCTATTATTGTTCATTTTTTGCACCGTTGACTTTTGTACAAGCCTTCAGGAACATATCAAATTTGAATTAAGATACTAACCTGCATTAACCTGGGAGTTGAAAACAGAATTCTCTTTAGGCTTTAAAATGCCTGTTGTTAACCTAAATGGAATCATGCTATAAGTTATTTTCTATTTTAAGTCCTTAAAATTCCAGATTTACCTAATGATCCTGGAGTGGATTGAATAGCATCCCTCAGAATGTGCCCTTATTTGGAAACAGGGTCTCTGCAGATGTAATCAGTTAAGATGAGGTCATACTGGATTAGGTTGGGCCTTAAATACAATGACTAGTGTCCTTTTAAGAAGAGGAGAGACCCACACACATAGGGAAGAAGGCCATGTGAAGCTGGAAGTGGAAATTGAAGTTATGCTGCCACAAGCGAGGAATGCTGAGGATTGCAGGGAGCTGCTAGAATGATGAAAAGACAGGAAGGATTTCCCCTAGACTCGTCAGAGGGAGCATGGCCCTGCTGACACCTTGATTTTGGACTTCTAGCCTCCAACACTGTGAAAGAATAAATTTTCGTTTTTTGAACTCACCCAGTTTGTGATATTTTGTCACTGCAGCCCTAGGGAGTTTGATACAGCTTCCAAACCAGAAAAAGTAAGTTTGTTACTCACGAGCTGGACCCGAGACACAAGAGACATGGGAAGAGGAGACAGAAAGAAGCCCCTAGGGGTATCCACTATTGTCACTTTTAAGGGAACTGCTCCTAAATGGAAATTGGTGTTGTCATTTTGGAAGGAATTTTTCAGAATGTGTCAAAACTTGAAGTTGGTTTAATTTTTTTTTTTTTTTGCGGTATGCGGGCCTCTCACTGCTGTGGCCTCTCCCGTTGCGGAGCACAGGCTCGGGACGCGCAGGCTCAGCGGCCACGGCTCACGGGCCCAGCCGCTCCGCGGCATGTGGGATCTTCCCGGACCAGGGCACAAACCCATGTCCCCTGAATCGGCAGGCAGACTCTCAACCACTGCGCCACCAGGGAAGCCCCTGGTTTAACTTTTGACCTTGACATTTCTCTTTTGGGAAGTTGTCCTATCATAACATTTCCACAAATGTGCAAAAATGTACATACAAGTATGACAACATTTCTTGGAATAGAATAAAATTGGGAAAAGCTAAAAAGCCTGGCTATATAAATTATAGTAGATCCATGCAGTAAACATCTATACAGCCATTAAAAAGAATGAAGTTACTAGATATAGGTGATGGTTGCACAACATTCTGAATGTACTCAATGCTACTGAATCGTTCACTTTAAAATGCTTAATTTTACATTATGTGAATTTCACCTCAATAAAACAAAATTTTTTTAAAAGAATAATCTGTATGTCTTAGCATGGAAAAGACTGCTAAAAAGTATTGTTGAGCGAAGAGAACAAATTACAGAGCAGTGAGCATAATATTATTTTATTTCAATGAATATTAATCAGTCTGTAAATTAGAACTTACATAGAAAAAATCTGGCTGCAAATACAGGAAACATCTCTATTGGTTAGCTCTAAGCAGTGGTGGTGGGGTGGTAGGGAGTGATTCTGGAGAAACTTTCACTTCCTAGGCCTGTATTATTTGAACTTCTCACAACACATGTTATTTTGTAATCAGAGAAGCAGTCAAAATGAAAGGGGTTCTCATATCATTTTTATTCTTTCTAAAATGAGGAAGAAAGCTAAATATTAATGGGAGGGGCAGAAAACATTGTAATTTTATGTCATTTCCCCTCCACCTATGTCACTTAGTGAAATAAAATGACTTTTCACGTTGTTGCTGTCCAGAGAGTGACAGGCCGACCATGAGTGTGAAGGTCACACGGGCCAGGTTGTGAGGGGCAATATGTCGCTTCACGGAGGAAAAGGTGGAGCAAGTCTGACGTTCGGGGCGTTTGGTGTGGTTGGTGTATGTGCTTCTGCACTGGGTCATGAGTTCCTTGGACTTTCTGAGAGAGAGAAAGAGATCGGAGGAAAGAGAAAGAGCTGTCCCCTTGTACAGAACCCCAGCATGTAGAATAAAATGCTATATTCATGTTTTTCATTACTTTGGGGAAAATTATATGACTTTATGAATAAAAAGCTCTCTAGCCTGCATAAAAAGCACTCAGAAGGATTTGAGAATAGGTTGCCTACCTACTAGGGGCCAAAGGTTGGTTAAGGCTTTGGCTTGATTTGCAGATGTACAGAAGCCCTAGAAGGACCGCGGTTTGTGAAGGGGATTCAGGCTGCCTTGTGCGTTTGTTCAGACCGGGAGAACGAGGTTCAGAGTGACCAGGTTTTATCTTCACTGTGTGTTTGGAGTGTGACTGCAGGGGTGAAACAAAGCAAGCTGGGTGTCTATATCCTGTCTTCTGTCATTGGTAAAGCTAGAATGCATGGCTATTAACTTTTGCCTTGGCATCTCAGGGTTTTGTGGGTTTTTTTCTTCTGCTGATACAACAACGCTTTGGCACAAAGCAATGATGCTGAGCTAAGACTCTCCAACCACCTAAAGGCAAGATGAGTTAAGATGGAACAAACTCTCCCACACTCCCTACTTAATGATTATTTTTTAGTTAGAGACACAACCCTGATGATAAACAAAGAATCTCAGCTAATTTGCATTTATGAAAGGGCACCTCACAAATTAAGCAAGCATAACCAAAATGGCTAATTGCTAAGCGAATGTAAGCCTTGGTATATATCCAGAGAAAAACATGGTCTGATAGGATACATGCACCCCAATGTTCATTGCAGCACCGTTTACAATAGCCAAGACATGGAAGCAACATAAATGTCCATCGACAGAGGGATGGATAAAGAAGATGTGGTACATATATACAATGGAATATTAATCAGCCATCAAAAAGAATGAAATAATGCCATTTGTAGCAACATGGATGGACCTAGAGATTGTCATACTGAGTAAAGTAAGTCAGACAGAGAAAGAGAAATATCCTATGATATCGCTTATATGTGGAATCTAAAAAGAAATGATACAAATGAGCATATTTACAAAACAGAAATGGACACACAGGCTTAAAGAATGAACTTATGGTTCCCGGGTGGAGGGAAGGGATAGTTAGGGAATTTGGGATGGACATGTACACATTGCTATATTTAAAAAGGATAACCAACAAGGACCTACTATATAGGTCCTGCTGGATCTACCTATAGCATAGGGAACTCTGCTCAATGTTATGCTGTAGCCTGGATGGGAGGGGAGTTTGGGAGAGAATGGATACATGTATATGTATGGTTGAGTTGCTTTGCTGTGCACCTGAAACTATCACAACATTGTTAATCGGCTATACTCCAATATAAAATAAAAAGTTAAAAAAAAAAAAAGAATGGAATCCTTGGTGTTTCTGCTGGAATATTCTCCAGTCATCTTTGCTCCATCACGTACAGCTAGATAATTTACATACACGCATCGCCAGGTAAACCCTGTAGTGTGTATAGCAAAACTAACCAATTCTTAGTTCAGGCAAGGGCAAAAGGGTCTTAGTGACAGGTGGTGGGTCACCTCCTTTGGACGCCATAGATGGTCCCTCTGACCCTGTCCCTGAAAAACTCTCAACACCCTTTGATCTGTATACTCTTTCTCCTCCTGTGATTTTTGAGGGGACTTGGCACTAGTACTTTGGGACCAAAGAGTCCCAGTGGTTTGGGAAACACCTCCTAGGCCTGCCTTGCTGTCAAAGGCTGAATGGGCTGAGCTGAAAGTGTCTAAACCTCTTCACGCAGGTGCTCTGGAGCCCACGTCAGGTTCACTTTGCCATCCCGCGTTTGCCTGCCGCGGCAGTGCCCTGCATCCTTCCTCACACGCTGGTGAGCTCACGCCGGTCAGTCCTAGAGAGGTGAGGGGTTGGGAGTGCAGGGCTTACAGAGGAGAACAATGAAAGCCAGGTTGAGAGACGTGATGCTCATTCCAGGAAAATAATGGGAGAGAAGATGGTGCCTAGCACCACGCTCTCACACGTCAGGAGCACGTGGTGGGCTTGGAACAGATAAAGAGCCTAGTGTTTCGGGTGGCTCAGAGTCTGTCCCTGTCCTAATGAATTGTGCCTGATCACGCAAGGTAAGCCTCATGACTTGGGTGCAGGGCCAGACGCGATCATTTCATTACCCTGGCGGGTGTTCCAGCCAGATTTCACTGATGGCTGACGGCAGGGGTGCCCCCCTCTCAAGGAAGAAGGCAAACGGCCTCTGCAGAAAACGTTGCCCAGAACCAGAGAGAAAGCCCAGAGGCCTGCTGTGGTTGAGTGCTCAGATTTCACTCACAGCTAGCTTTTGTATGTTTGAAGCATCCAGGTAATAGAGGTAGCCCTTGGCTTCAGGCCCCGCAGTTGTAATCACATTATTGACCTCCCACCCAACCTCCTTGAGGAGGCATCTTGACATAGACTGGGAATGAGGTGGGGTCTCAATGGGCCCACATTACCCAATGCATAGAGATTCTGGGTCCCCTAAAAGAGGATATGGCCTGGAATGTGCTGGCTGGTAGAGAAACTCATTATTCCCTCGGCTACCCACACCTTCACTGAGGAGGCTGGGAGAGAAGACTCCTCTGAGCAGCAGAGTTCTATCCATTCTCTTCTCTGTTGGTTTTCTACCCTTGACTGGATAGAATGGATTGTTTCCTGGCAGTTCAGGCTCCTTGGAGTCTGTGATCTACCAGCATCTTGACTGCTTCCTCTTAATGCAGTGCTGACCAGCTGCCCTAGGTGACAACTGAAACATCGGCATTGCAGAAAAACACTTGGGAGCCGGCGACACAGACAACCTCTGTAGGGCGGCTCTGGCTCTCTCCATTAGGTGAAAAATGTTCAATTTATAATGTCTAGGTCCACTATAAAAAATGGAACCACGTCCATTTCTGTGGCTAGTGTTAGACGCTTGTATTTTTTTTTATACATTTCCAGTAATTACAATGTTTTTTTCAGGGATGTTGTAATTGGATATTGGGGAAGGTTTGTCATCGCCCTTTATGGCTTGAGATTCTTGAGGCCATTCCCATTTCTCATTGCTGCCCTTGCTACCCAAGCCTCTGCTGCTGTAGCTCACTCATACTTGCCCTATTTCCAGGAATTTTTCTCCTTCTGTATCACTCACATTCTATAGCTTTTGAAGGCAATGATAGGAGAAGCCCAAAGAAGTTGGGTTAGCTTAGGCCAAATTGAGTAGAGGTACAACAAGAAAGCTAGGTTTGTCTATTTTACCTTTCCTCTTGAATTCCTGATGCTAAAAGCTATCTTGCAATCATGACCTTCATTCATTTAACAAGTATTTATTATCTACGTTTGTTTAGAGAATTGAGAAAGAAGCACATAGCTGCATTATTTTAGTAAAAGCTAGCATCGTTGTAAAAAAGAAAAGAGAAAAGTCCAGCAAATATCCTAAAAGTTTTTTCAGGATGGACTTATGCAATTCGTTGCTGGCTTGAGCTTTTATGAAATCACTTTGCTCATTTGGGGTAATCTCCTCGACATTCTGGCAGATGGGGAGGTATACTTGCCATCTGTCTTTATTTTTCTAACCCCTCCACAGGACGTTGCAAAGTGGGCACTGTGGGGACATCCCACACTGCCAACTCCATTCTTTCACCCAAATGCTTGCTGCTTCTCTGCCCGGATCCCCGGAGGGGAGAGAGGCTGGCATGGGTCTCTGGCTGATGTCTGCCTGCCCTTTGGCTCCTTGGAAAAGGAAGAGCAGGACTGGGCTGGAGGGGCCTCTGCGTGTACAGCTTCTGCTGAAAAAGTGCAGTTTCAGGGATTTTGGGCTCTTGGACGAAAAGACTCTTTCTGCAGGTGTTTTTTACACAGTATAACCAGCTTGTTCTCTGTCCCCTCCAGCAGGACAGGATCCAGAGGTTGGAGGGGCACTGGCTGACCTGACCATAGGTTTGTTCTGTTTTGTGATGGGACTGGGGGTTGAAGCTCATTGCTTCTCCTTCCATAAGCTCCTTGAAGTTAGGGACGGTGGCCTCTTTGCCATCATATCCCAGAGCCAGGCACACAGTTTGGCATTTCATAGGTGGTCAATACGTACGTTTAAAAGTGAATTCATAAAAGAAAGCAAATAAGGCAAGTGTGGACTGTAGAAAGAGTACAGACTTTAGTCAGAGAACCCGGAAGGGCTCTCAGCTTTGCTGCTCAATAGCAGCAGAAGCAAGTTCCTTACCTAACCTTGCTGAACCCCAATCTCCTCATTTGTAAAATGGGACAATCACATTTGCTTCTTAGGGCTGCTCTGGGGATGACCTGATATAGAGACGGGTGTGGCTCTTGGCTTATGGAAGGTTTTGGGAGTGTTTGCTATTTACTGGAGAGTTCCAGGTGGGTCATTACAGAGCTACCTTGGGTCCTCAGCATGTAGTCTTGGCCGACTTGGGGTTCTACGGACAGTGGTAAACCAGTCTAGGGGCTGCCAAGGCAGGGCATGTCAGTATCTCTGGATTGCAATGTGGTATCTCCTGCCCTGAGCTCACTTCACCGTTTAGGCCTACACCTCCTTCACCATAAGAGTTCTGGAGCTCTCATGGAGGTATCCGTGAGGGCAAACACACGTTCATAATATGGAACCATGTTTTTAGCACAGGCTTAGAAACTTGGTGAGTGAAGTGCGAGAAAGCAAAAGGTGGGCAGTGAACAGGGTGGCCTGCTTCTAGCACCTCTTGGGTTGGAGTCCAGCTCTGCCATCAGTCGATTAATTGGGCAAGTCGTGTCACCTCTCTTGGCTTTGCTTTCCTGTTTTACTAAAATGATGCGTGGGTGGCGACTGGGGAGTTGTTTTAGAGCTGATCTCACCTATTTTTTTTTTTTTCTTTTTGGCCATGATCACAGGACAGATGGCATTCACATGTGCAGCATATTCTCAGGGGTATGCACAGACTTCGAGAAGCCTTCCAAAATGTTGTGGGGGACTGAAGGCATTCAACATTTTGAAATCACTACTGATATTAGCAGTTTAGCAGAACTACTTTCTTACGATGGGCCATGGGCATAAATAGGATTGGCTGTGAATTATGCGCAGTTTCTTTGCAAAGTTCCAAGTCTATGCTGTCTCGACCACGTGGGTAAGTGAATCAGAATATGAGTGAGGAAGCTGTTCTTATGAGATAGCTGTGATTTTGCCTTATTTTATTTAAAAAGCCATGATTCTCAATCTTGGATTTTTGATTAGCACTAACATATTTCTTGCGGTATAACTCAGAGTTGATCATGACACACTCCTTTGTTATGAATCAGAGCAAAGAATTAATGGGTCAGATATTCTTAAAGTCTTTCTGCTTTGCAGCTTGGTTTTGTTGATTTCACATGTGTCTAGGACTTGCTAAGATAGGGAAATTCAGTTCCACAGCAGGCTACTGTAATGGAGTGGATCGAGTTGAGAGGACAGGGAAACTCAGAGTCAAAGAATTTTCCAAACCTTTCTCAGTAACTCACCTGTTGCAGACATCATTTCCAATCATGGCGTATATGACAATGGCTGGTTGGTCCAACAGCTGGTTCCTAGACAAACTGAGAACCCATAGATGGAATCTGAATGTCAAACACTTGGAAGCCTAGCTGTGAATCTTTGTACGACCATCATCTTGGTAACTTTTTGCTATTTTTCTTTCATTCCCATTTCCCTCTTCTCTATAAATTTTAACCCACTTTTCCATCAGGAAAAGACCACATAAATGCATAGAACTAAAAGAGTAGATTGAAGTCTCCCGTAGGGGGACACACTACTGTCTTTATAGCATGTTTCACAGAATTTGTCATGAATAAACACAGGTGAGTTATCTGAGTTACTTGTGTCCAGACGTGTAGGACATTATTACAGCTGTGGACCTGTGGTCAACTTTGAAAAATCAAGGGTTTATCAAGGTTTCTATTCTGGACACCCAAGGCCTTGCTTCTGAATTTTAAGTCCAATACAAGCACAAAATTGTTTTCTTGTTCATAAAGCAGGATTAAGAAGCAATACTTTGGCCAGACCTAAGTTTTACCCACGTTGTATGCATTTTTATGGACACATGTAAATTTATCACTTCCTATGGTCACTGGCCCAAGAAGTGACAACTTCCAAGTGTACGGAAAGTGACTAACAAGTTATGGATGCTCAGTATATGTGGTTACTGGGTAACAACAGAGAGTTTTTTTTTTTTTTTTTTTTTTTTTGCGATACGCGGGCCTCTCACTGTTGTGGCTTCTCCCGTTGCGGAGCACAGGCTCCGGACGCGCAGGCTCAGCGGCCATGGCTTACGGGCCCAGCCGCTCCGCGGCATGTGGGATCTTCCCAGACCGGGGCACGAACCCGTGTCCCCTGCATCGGCAGGCGGACTCTCAACCACTGCGCCACCAGGGAAGCCCCAACAGAGAGTTTTTATTCATTTTTCAAAATAGAAACCTAACTTAAAAATGACTTCTTGTATCCCTCCCTTTTCCACTTACCTTTCTATAAATCTCTCCAGGCTTTGGGAAGATGCACCTTAAAATTAAGAAAATAATTAAAGTTAGTAACTTCAATTCAGCACAATCAGTATTAGAGTTTTTGTTTTGTTTTTTTTTTTGGTACGCGGGCCTCTCACTGTTGTGGCCTCTCCCGTTGCGGAGCACAGGCTCCGGATGCGCAGACTCAGCGGACATGGCTCACGGGCCCAGCTGCTCCGCGGCATTTGGGATCTTCCTGGACCGGGTCACGAACCTGTGTCCTCTGCATTGGCAGGCGGACTCTCAACCACTGTGCCACCAGGGAAGCCCCCAGTATGAGAATTTGATTGATTGACTGAAATCATGGAAGAAGCATCATTGTACACTCAAAGTTCATCCAAACCATCATGCTGACGGGAATGACTTCATCCTGCAACTCTCCTTAATGGGTCTTCTGTTTGCTTGGCATTATAATTAACATAATCCTAAAAATTTTAGATTCACAGGTTTCAGGACATTTCCTAAGCATGAATGGGTACACTTTCTAGTAGATGTGAGAAAAAGGTATAAATCTATCAGCAAAGACAGATACTACCCAAAGATTAAGGAATGAGTTGAGGGATGAGAGGTACCGTAAAAAGGATTATTTGAGAACTGCCCATCTCCCTAGAAATCCCCATTTAATTGCCTGCCAGTATTCCTGCTCACTCCTGAGGCTCCTCCTGACTGGCTGGCCTGTGCAAGGTTTAGATTGTAGACTTGAAATATTTCAGCTCCTGTAGTGACATGCATAACCATCCTTCCCTCACCCTTGTTACCACCTGTCATGCATCTCCTATATGAAAATTATATTTATTGAATACTCATTTTATTATAGACACTCTGTTAAGCACTTATATTATTAGTTCATTTAGGCCTTAGCACCACTGTATGAGGTAGGCATAGTAGTATTCCCATTTTATAGATGAGGAAACTGAAGCTCACTTAAAGTGTCTTGCCCATAGCCACACAACTAATCATTAGGAGAGCTGCAATTCAAACTCAGTCCTTTCTGTGAGGTTGAGCTCTGGTTCCTAGTGTGACAGTGCTTATCTAGACTGGGTGTCTAGAAAGGGTGAACCCAAATAGGTTTAGTGTTTCTTTGTCCCTTGGAAGATAGTCTGCAGCAATTAGTGAGTAATCCTCAGATGGGTGGTACAATTCAAGGGGCAAGGAAGATTTTCCTGTAACTTTCAGCTTTGGAAGCTTGGGGGGAAGGCCAGTGGATGTTCCTGCAGATCCACATGGGAAAAAGGGCAGTGTATACCCATGAGGAGCGTGCTGGCCCATGTCCCCTCAAAACCGTGTGACCATGCAGGGACTGCTTCCTTTTCCACATACAGCTAGATGCAAGCTGTATGGGCAGCACTGATGTTCTCTTGGCTGATTCAGGACTGTTAGTATGATAAATGAATATCGCTTTATTTCCTCTCTTATTGTGGTAAAATATACAACACATAAATGTAACCATTTTAACCCATTTTGAGTGTGCGATTCAGTGGCCTTAAGTATCAATACATTCTTATTGCTGTGCAAACATCACCACTATCCGTCTCCAGAATTTTTCTGTCATCCCAAATTGAAGTTCTGTATCCATTAGAGAATACCCCTCCCACAGCCTCTGATAGCACCATTCTACTTTCTGTTGGTATAAATGTAACTATTCTGGGTACCTCATATAGGTGGAATCATACCATATTCGCCTTTTTGTGTCTGGCTTCTTTCATTTAGCATAATTTTTTTTGTTTTTTGTGGTTTTTTTTTGCGGTACACGGGCCTCTCACTGTTGTGGCCTCTGCCGTTGTGGAGCACAGGCTCCGGACACGCAGGCTCAGCGGCCATGGCTCACGGGCCCAGCCACTCTGCGGCATGTGGGATCTTCCCGGACCAGGGCACGAACCCGTGTCCCCTGCATCGGCAGGCGGACTCTCAACCACTGCATCACCAGGGAAGCCCTAGCATAATGTTTTTAAAGTGCATCCATTTGCAGCATGTGTCAGAATTTCCTTCCTTTTAAAGACTGAATAATATTCCATTGTATGTACATACCACATTTTGTTTATCCATTCATCTGCTGATGGGCATTTGGGTTGTTTCTACATTTTGCTATCGTGGATATGCTGCTATGATCATTGGTGAGCAAGTATCTGTTTGAGTCCCTACTTTTTAGGTAACTGAAATTGTTGGACCATATGGTAATGCTATGGTTAACTTTTTTTTAGGAATCATCATACTGTCTTTGTTTCCTTTTTGTAGTGAGGAGGGGTAGTATTAAATATGCACACAGACATACAACTTAAGGGTGGTCATTTCATCTCAGCATGAATGCATTCATTCACCCTCTCCATTCATTTGTTGAGCACTTGCCATGTGCCTTGCACATAGTAGGGAATTAGCAGGTGAGTTGGACACAGCCTCTATACCTGAGGATTAGCATCTGTGGGGTTAGACATATAACCGAGCACTGGTGAAAGGTTTAATGCAACCAAACCCAGAAAACTCAATGAGATTTGAGCCTATTATCTCGGCTCAGAGAAGGTGCCAGATTTCACAACACCGAGTCATAAACATAGAGACTCAAAGTATTTCTGGGTGTGAGATGGCTCCCTCTTGCTCCCAAGAGAGAAGAGAAGGAGGGCAGCCATTGGGATCCTACGGCGGCTCTCACTCATCTCATCGTCCGGGCCCTTCACCCAGTGCCAGTCCCAGGACTCTCATCTTCCCATTTTCAGTAAACTAATAAATCAGGAGGTGTTTAATTCTCACTCTTTGATTTTTCTCTTAATGAGAACTGAAAACTAATGAAAGCTCAAGCCATGAGTGGGAAAAAAAATTAAAGGACCAGGTCAGGCCAATAATTTTCCTCATTATCCAGAGTACAACTGGGAATGTGAGGTGTAGAGCACCCACAGAGCTTGAGGAAAATGGAAATGAAAACCTGTCATGGCATGCCACATGGGCAGCCCCTCTCTGGACCCACATCCCTACATCCCTCTGATGCTCAGGGCAAAGACGGCAGGCCAATGGGAATGGCTTGCGGTGGATTTGAAAGTAGCAATCACAAACATCCACCCAAGGAGAGAGGAAGTGCCCACTCTTCCTTGCCCAAATGTTTATTTTTTCTGGTGGGTGTTTATAACAGGAGCACAGAATTTTCTTTGCTCCAGAGTTGTGGCACCTTCCACGATTTCCATTTCCTTTTGGAAATCTCAGTTTTATGAGATTATGTAATGAGTTTATGTAATTCCCATGTCACTTTCTCTTCTTAGTCCCCCTTTCCTGTTGTTCTGCTATCCGTTTGCCAGCCCCATCATCATTTGCTGTCTCTCTCCCTCCCAAGCTCTCTTTTCTCTCTCCTCCTGTATATAGACTTCCTCTCGGCTACTGATTTTGTTGTGGCTGCTGCTACTATTACAGAAAATACTTAATAAAGTAGTGGGAACAGGAAGATGTAAGCAGGAGAGAAAGATAGCTTCTAGCCTGTGGGATGAGGCAAACCAAGGTGAGCATTTGAAGAACTGGTGCTACCCTTAAGAGGTCCATACCTGGTCTCTACAATAATAGTTCAGAGAAATGGAAAAGTTTTGACTCTGAAATATGGACATTTAATTTACTTGTCAAGGTGGTACAATGGAGACTCTACCTGTCCCCAATTAAGAAAAGAATAGGGTCCTTATTGGCCACAGAAGTCTGAATTTTGGCTCATTCAGTCCCTTTTAAATAAGGCATAGTGCATTGCAAGTAAAGAAGGGTTTCCCATAATCTCAGCACTGGTTGTCTTTCATGAGTAAATTTCAGCTTACATTCCCACTGCTGGATCAGCGTTGACCACAGCAGCAAGTGCTTCATATTCTGGACATTCGAATCAACTGGTAAGACGCTCTTAACGGTCTTCTAAATAAGCCTGGAATCGTTTGGTTTTGTGCCTGCCTCAGAGTAAGAGCTCAGTCTCAAATTCTTCATGGGGTATATTTAAGTATAAGTATAATAGGTCTTCTTAACTTCATTCATTCATTCAGCAACATTTATGGAGTACTTACTATGTGCCAGGCATTGTAATAGATGCTGGGGACACATCAGTCAATAGAAAAGATATGGTCCCTGTTTTTGTGAGGCTTAGAGTTATTCGTAAGTAATGAACATCAAGTGTTAGGGATTCTGAGAAGCCCTGAAGAAATGGTATTAAGCTGAGCACTGAAAGAAAAGTAGATGCTTCTTCTCTTGAAGTCCTAAGAGAAGAACTTGGCAGCTAATTCCCAATAAAATATCGGATGCTTTCTAGACACGACTCAGAAACAAATCTCTAGTTTAATGCCATCTTTGTTATAACTCTCTGAATAGGACAGGGGCAGATCCAGGTTTTGGGTTCTGAAGATTATATAATTTGGAGGACCCTCTTTAAGGAAAAGAACACAAAACACAAAAATGAGACCTGACACGAAGAGAAGCCAGAGTGCAAAGAGACACAAGTCTTAATCAATTGTGGTTAAATATCTCAAGTTGGTAAATTTTACAAATCCATATGGTTACCAGGCAAGTGAGGGGCCCTCAGGCTTCAGCATCACTAGCCTTATAACTCTGCCTCTTGGCACTCCGTAGACGTCAAGTGCAAAGCCTTGGAGCATCAGTGCTAGGTGGGATCTTTGAGAGTATGTGATCAGGTAGCCCACTTTACAGATGAGGCCCAGAGAGGGAAAGAGGCTTGCTCAAGGTCTAACAGCTAGCAATCAGCATCTCAGCTAGTAACCCATTTCAGGTACCAATTACTAGACATTAGTAATGACTGAAACAGATTATTTCAGTTCTTAAATGAGAATATGTGAATTACAAGATCTAGTTCTTATATGAGAACCTGTAAAAAGGACTTCGAGGTGCATTTTGCAACCACTGCTATAAAATTTTTTGTCAGATAGTTCCAACATCTGACATCTGTTAGTTTTCTTTTCCCATGTGAGTTGAGATTTTCTGGTTCCTTATATGCTGAGTAATTTTGGATTCTATCCTGGGAATCTTGGATAT